GAACGGCCTCCGCCCTGATCCATCTCAGCACACACACAGTTTTAAAAAAGAAAGTTTAATATTACCAATTTGGCAGAAGGAAGTGTAAATGTTATGTCAGTGGTAAGATACTATTTTATCCTGAGAGATGAATTGTTGAGGAAGCGTGACCTAATTGACAGCAGTTCAATGGCAACTTCTGCGGTTCCCAGCGATGTACAAACAGGTCCTGTGGCTGCCGGCAGGTGAAAACACCTCGGCAGGTTAACTGTGGGTTTTCTTCTCTGTGGGTCAAAGACTGAGCTGTCAATCTGGATGGACCTGGAATGGAGATGGGTAATAAATTCATCTGGATTACCAGACTTGCAAAATGCTCACATGAGCCAGGTCTCTTCAGCTTTCAGTGATGGGTTTGCTAGAATGGGCTGGGCCTTCCCAATTATAGAAAACTTTTGATGATATCAGAGATCGTAAAAGGGAGATGCTTCGGAAGAAAATAAGAAAAGACGCACATTTGCTCTCCGTGAAAAGAAAGATCAAGGCAAAAAGTGGGGCACTCTCCAACCCTCTTTTCCTGGCTGAGACCTTCCAAGAGCTCCCTGTTGTCCTGCTACATTGAGGCTGAGAGCCGAGGAGGAAAACCTGTTGCAGAGAGGCTAAGCAAGTGATCTGTAGCTGTGAGCTTCAGCATTAAGGAAATACTGGTGTCGGAGCCCTTACCTCCAGAGATCAGGGTGCAATGTGTGTTTCGTGGGCTTGGGCTTTAATCTGTTTTCTCTAAAGGGTCCCAAGAGATGCTAATGTGTTCTGGGCTAAAGGGAATCCTTCAGATGCCCTGAGAATGTGGGCACCACTGGCACTGGAGACTAAATTCTGCTGGACTTCCACCTTTAAGAAAGCAAAACCAGTGTTTATTCTCACAAGGATCATCATGCATTTCTAGGCTTTTAACAGCTATGTCCGTAAGTATTCTTTTAGTCTTTTTGGTGTTGCTATAACAAAATGCTCAAAGCTGAATGCTTTATAAAGGAAAGAGGTTTATCTTGGCTCATAGCTTTGGAGGCCCAAGGGTATCGTGCCAGCCTTGGCTTCTGGTGAGGGACACGTGGCAGACGGCATCATGTGGCAGGAGTACGTGTGAGACGTCACAATGCAAGATAGAAAGCAACAGGCCGGGGAGAGCCAGGCTCACTTTTTTATAACAACCCATCTTCATGGGAACTAATGCAGTCTCACGAGATCTGCCCCTGTGAGAGAGCGTTCCTGAGAGTGGAACTCCCAGTGACTGAATTACTTTCCACTCGATCCTACCTCTTAACAGTTCTGCCACCTCAGCACCGCCCCATGGGGCCCAAGCTTCCAGCATATGAGGCTTTGGGGGACAAACTATACTCAAATCACAGCCAGTATCTGACTGTCATTCCTGTGAGAAAGTGAGACTTATCCCCTTGTCACCCCTTTGTCTCATCAGCTCCCCAATAAGGGCTCTGCTCATAAATAAACTGGAAAGAGGTGGAGACTTGCCAGTTAGAAAATGATACACACTGAAACTGCCCTAAATCTCTATCCTAAAGCCCTCCTGAAAACCTAGGACAGGACTCAGAACAAGCTCAGGAAAGGAGTCAAAGTCACACCTGGAGGGACTGCAGGGGGGAAGGGAGGATACACCTTGGAAAATGGGATTCTTCTCTGTTCCCTTGCAGAATTTAATTCAGCCTTTCCATGGGCTACTCTGTCTGGGAAAGTTTGCTGGGATGCCAGGTCTATGGCTAAACTAGGAGTCCTCATGTCCCAGGACTCTCATTCCTGCCCTTTTTCTTGAGCAGTAAATAACTCTCTGCTTTGGAAAACATGCCTGGGTGACACGTTCGTGACGGCCACGGGAGGGGCAGAGTGTGGAGATCTGAGTGCAGAACTCAGAGCTCTAAGTTGTGTTGCTCCTTTGGACTCAGATTTCCTCTAGGTAAAAAATGGTGGTGGCCATAGGCCTGAGGCTAACCAGGGAGATGATCCAGCTATGTCTTACAGTGGATGCCATGGTGCTCCAGAGTCTCCCTGGATGGGGCTGATACCCCACACGTACATCAGCAGCTGATGGGGACACTAGTGTATCACTGTGTCCCTTGATGGTCAATGGCCATTGCCCTTCACACAATGAAATTGCATTACCCAGGTTACCCAGGTTTCAGGAGGTGGCTGATGCTCATCCTACTCTCTTCCATGTGGGGCACAAACACTCTCAAGCTTTCTGAACCCTGCTGTGGGCCAATTTTGGTCTCTCCTCAACCCTGCCTCCCCCACGTCCTTCCAGGTGTGCCTCCTGAAAGGTTCTGCAGACTGTCCCGCACGCAGTCTATTTCTGGGACCCCCAAGCTAAGTGATCTCCTCTCTGTGCTCACTCTAAGGTCAGCTTGGAGATGCATGATGCTAACATTCCCCAAGAAAAATAACTTGCTTTGTGGTTAGAAGGGAAACATTTTTGTTCAGAGTGAATCTCTGGCATTTTTTTCCTTTCTGGCAGCCTAGGAGAGTTCTGGGGAGGATGAGTGTGAGATTAGCGGAGATGTCAGGGAAAGTTGGAAAAGGGGCAAAAAGGAGGAGGCAGAGGGGACTTTCTAAGAATGCGAGACTTTTGTTTGATTTCTTGGATTAGTTACTTTTAAATGGTTCTTCTCTTCCCTATCCCCCAAAATCCACATCTGTTAATTTACTGCAGGAGCCTTTGTAACTGGAGAGCTAATGGCCTTCCAGGGAGGGGAGGTGGCTAGAGACTTACGCAAAGACTTAAACCTCATGATGTGAGCATGCTATGAGAAGCCCCACCTGTGTGTACAATGTACTTAAAGGATTAGAGCACACTTTGAAATTATGATATGTTTTACCTAAAGTAAGCACCTTATTCTTTAATCTTCTATTTCCTTTAAGAGGGGAGGTAGGAGAGAAAATCACCAATTCTCTCAGCTACTCAGGTGCACGAGACACTGCTTGTGGGATTTAATGAAGGCTTAAGCACAGGGAGACGAAGGATGTGGTATGTATGTATTTTAACACAATAATAAATCTTATTTCCAATGCTTGTGATTCAGTTCAAAGGTGTCATTTGCAAGAGGTCAATGGGGTTTGTGGTCAGGTGACACTTTTTAGGGAGACATAGGAGTGAGAAGGACAAGAAAGATGTGGTGTGAGGTGTTGGTAGGACCTGAAAGGGGACTTTTAATTGAAAAATTGCTGTGGTCTCCACATTCCTTTTGTGATCTTCTAGAAATGTAGGTAAATACCTGATGGGCTTCGCTCATCAGCTACCAGCTAAGCTGCTGCTTTTGATGCTTAGGTGGCTACAGATTTGTCAGGCTGGTGAGGGTAAGAGAAGATGGTAACCAGAAATATGAAGTTAAATAGCAAGCAATCTTTCAGAGTCCGAAAATCACACACAGATATCTCTAATAAACACATAGAGACTTTATTATGAAAATGGTCATGTGTTGCAAAAAATATATAGAAAAATAAAGTTTGATTGGGACACTTTAGTAAACTTCAAGTCACAAATTTTCAGGTTATAGATCAGGGCAGACACAGGATCAAAGCAGAGTCCAGGTAAAATGGTCTGGAGCGCTGTCCTGATCACCTGTTGAAGATCCGTAGATTAATTCTCCCATTGTTTTTCTACCAGGTCAGAGGTGGGTGAATGACTTGCTTCAGTCCTGAGAGGTGGTGGGCAAGATGAATACAAAGACTACATAATTTTCAACAAAAACTTTCTTTGCAACACAATCTATTTATTGCAGAAAATGTTTAATCCTTGCAGGAGCGCAGGCTGAAAGAGTTCAATTCAGAGGGTAGGGAGAGAAAAGAACATCGGGTGGGGAGTGAGCGTTACATGCTTATCTCAGAAGCCAAATCAAAAGGAGAAAGTCGGTGGCCCCCTTTGCCTTTTGGGTCAGCTCGCACTGTGGTGAGGGGCAACACATGAGGCCCCGAACAGTATCTCAAGGTGGAGCTCAGGCCATAGAAACATGGGGTGAAACCGGCCAGCTCTCTATCAGCTCACTGCGGCCGCCAACAGTGAATTGGCCCTTTTAATAAGAAGAAATTTGAAGGTTGCTCAAGGGCTTCTCAGAGGCCCTCGTAATGGGCTTTGCAAGCGGTTTCCTTTCTCTAAGTCTCTTCCTGCAAAGTGCATGAGCCCCTCTGCTTTCTCAGTGGCTTGGCCGCCTCCACCCTGGCTGCCTTTACTCCCAAGCCCTGCCTGGGCACCCACTGCTTCTCCAGCGCAGCTCGGGGATGCCCATCCTTCCCTGGCACCGTGTGTCTCCTTCCATGTGAATACCGGAGACCCCTTACCTCCTCCACCTGCAGGGATCCCCAAGACTTGATGAACTTTGCATTGTAGCAACAAAGCAGCAGTGATTTGGAGCTGTCAGGTCTTTAAATAGGATTTGGAATTTAATGCTGTGTATCTTTAAGGGAAAGAATTAAGAGTTGCTAGTTTAAAAAAAAAAAAAATTATGTCTTTTGGCTAATTGAGAATCTGACCATCCTCTTGTTTCTTTTTTTAAACCCATGAAACACCAGCTGGGGGTAGAGGGAGGAAAAAGAAAAAGATAAGATTTTGGGCTAAGTAAGAAAGGTGAAAGTTAGATGTAGCCAGGTTAAAAGCCTGGACTGAAAGAAGTCCTTCTGCTGACTGCTGTAGAAAAGGAATAAAAAATAAAAGAGGAAAGGAAGAAATTTATCCTCCTCACTGCCATATGCCATCTCGTTCATAATGTAGTACAAATTCTAGCTTGAATATTCCAGGAACCTCTGATTCTAAATTCTCCAGCCAGGGCAGAAAAGGTTAGCAGAGGCCTCTCCACTTTTTGCTAATAAACAAGGCAACAGTCCTAGCAAGGAGCATGGAGGACCCTCCTCTCCCAGGAGGGACAAGCAGTCTTCTAGCATGGCCCTACCCCTCGAAGTCCAGTCCTGTTTATACAGCTTGTCTTTTTTTTTTTTTTTTTTTTTTTTTTGGTTTTTCTCCGGTACCGGGAACCGAACTCAAGACCTTGCGCTTGCCAGGCAGGCGCTTTGCCACTGAGCTAAATCCCCAGCCCCCATACAGCTTGTCTTAAAAGCCACAGTGAGTGCATCTCGTTCCTCGGAGGCCACCCTGTAAATATGTAAAGTAGCATACTTTTGGAAAAGGAATAAGCAGCTGAGATTTTCACCGCCCCCACATCCCATGCCAACCTGCCGGGAGCTGTTCTTTGAAACCCTAGTGTGCCCTCATTTTTATGGGGACACAGAAAGACCTTGGCCATATTCCAAGGCCAACAAAAAGGCTTTGAACTTCAGCTTAATGTGGTAGGCAACATCCTTTCTCCCCTTAGGTTGGCCCTTTCCAAGCCTACGCTCAGTTACTCAAAGAGGATGGAGCTGCAGAGACAGAATCCTCAGGAGCAGCGCAGATAGCTCATCCAAAGTTATGCCAAGTGTGGGAGAGAGCACTTGACCTTTTCCCTCCCCGCTTCCATCGGGGTACTGAAAGCTACAGTGCTCTACAGTACGCAAGTGCGCGCCGGGGGAACTGTTTCTACATTAAAATAGTCACTGCCCTAGGTCTTTCGTTGGCTCACCAGTGAAGAGTTCCCTGTAAACCTCCAAGAGTTTGGATCTGTACACCTGTCTCTCCCCAGCGCTCCCGACCTCAGTCCCTCCTCCCTGGGGAAGACAATTTCCCATTTTACAAGGCTGACCTCGGTGCTCCCTTTACCAGAAAGCAGGGCTCCAGCTGCCCAGACAGTAAAGGTAGGGGTAGTAAGGGTAGCTGTTGTACACTGAGACCAGAGAGGCCCGGGAGAGGGCGTCGTCCTTCAGGACTGGCAGGGAGGAGTGCTTCTCCAGGTCCCCCAGGTCCGAGGAGAGCTGCTTCCGCTTAGTCTTATAGCGTCTGTTCTGGAACCATATTTTCACCTGGGTCTCGGTGAGCTTGAGGTTCCTGGCGAGGTGGGCCCTTTCAGGGGCGGACAGGTACTTCTGGTGGCTGAACTTCCGCTCTAACTCAATGACCTGGGTGTGGGAGAAGGCTGCACGGGAGCGCTTCTGCGGCTGCTTGGGGTTCTGGGGAAGGCTTGGTAAGGCGCCCGGAGCGGGTTTACAGTCCAACAGATACGTCTCGAAGTGCCTGTCTGGAAAAGAGAGGGAAGGCGGGAGGCACGAAGAGTTACATGGGAACGCGGCACCGAAGCCGCCCTTATCTCTTCAGAGAGCGAACAAACAGCCCACTGTTGGCGTGGATACATTTCGCTTGCTTTGCGGGACTAAGGAACTCTCCCAGCGAGCAACAACTACACCCGCGTATTTTGTATTCGTTTTCTAATCATCAGCGGGAACCCTAAATCCCAGGGTTCCGTGTGGCCGCACTTCTTGCCATATGGTCGGGTGCAATGAAACGGATTCCGGGTCTGTGTGCTTTAGAGACGCGAGGCAGGAGGGAGCGGGGCGGAGGGGAGCGCACTGGGAAAGGAGACCCAAAGCATCCGGCGTGAGCCTCCGGGTGGGCAAGAGAGGGCTTGCGCTGCGCAGCGGCGGGGCTAATGGCAAGTTCATTCCCCGGCTTTAATCCCTCTCTCTCTAAATGAGGCGTTAGGCTGCCGCGAGGAAGTGATGGGAAGAAGACTAAGCTGCGCTGAGTCCCAACCGCGCCTTAGCTCCTGGAGCCCGCAGGGAACGCACAAGGGTACCGACTTACAGGTCAGGGGATGGCGAGGGAAAGGGAGCCCTTGGGCCAAACCAGATCCGTCATATCGGTAAGTTACTATTTCTCAGAGGGCAGGCGCCGGGCGTATCAAGGGTGTCACAATGTGCGCCGCCCCGCGCTGGGGCTCAGGGTCGGTGCCCGAGGCGCACTCGTGGCTGGGGGGCGCTGAGGTCCCTTCTGTCGCCGCGGGGTCCCTCATCCTTGCACCCGAGCTCCGGGAGGTGCGCCTGGGCCCCGCCGCCTTCCTTACCAGGTTGGGCCTCCGCCAGCGTCTCCGCCTCCCCGGGGGCCCCGGCGCGGCCTCGTCCTTCCCGGGGCTCCGGCGCAGGGTCCCGCCACGGGTCGGGCTGGCGCGGGGGCT